TCAGTTCCAGGAAAAGATGTCATGTTTTCCCCTTCTTTGTGAACTCTGTTGGGCCTTAAACATCATATCATCCATTTTCTCTCTTGTGTCTCCTAAGTGATATAGCAATTAGCACAGGGATCGTAGATGCTCACAATGTGTCTTGAAGTGACTATATTAACTTAGTATATTCAATCACCCTAAAATTAAAAAAATTATAAATTTTCTTGAACGATATTTTCAATTTATAGAAATTCCTTAAATACATAAGAATGAGCCAAACAAGTATAAGAAATTTGTGACATATGCATGGCAATATGGTGCAGGTAGAAATCCGTGGCTGTCCTTGTCAGATTTTTATAACCCTTTGGGCATATATTGCAATATTCTCTAAGCTGTAAGAGAAGAGAAACCTTGTCTACTAGTGGGGATTGAGTTTATAATACAAATTCAGATTCTTAGGTACAACAAATTACAATTGAGTAATTTATGAGAACTATTATCAGTTGTTTGAATTATTTTGTTTAGGAATAGTGGCACTTGAGAAAAAAGAGGGACAGAGCCTGTGACTCCAGAAATGTGGTGAAACTTTCTACAAGTCTTGCATCATATTCATATTGAGAGGTTGAACCATAATTTTTAGGGTTATAGATACGCTCTTTAATGTCAATGATATATTTTCAGGCTCAAAATCAACAGAAGTATAAGTGGTAGTGGTGACATTTTTGGCAGAAAAGGTTATTTGTCCCAGTACTAAGTATAAAAGTGGTCACTCCTTGAGTAACTGTCATGGTTTTGAGAACTTTTACGTGGTTACAAGTTCAGCTGTCCCCCGAAATCAATGGAGGTGGCTGTGGGGCTGCCCGTGGCAGCAGCTACAGTGGTATCTTCAGAGATTGCATTGATTCTACCAGTCCTGACTTTATATAGAAGAGGTTCCAACTACTGGACAGCAGGTGTGTCCCTTACTAGTTGTACTATCCTCAAAAGTCATCCTTGGTGCCTTTCCTGGCAGCAGTGGTGTCAACAGGTGGGGTAATGGCTTGAGATGCATGAAAGGCATCTAAGCTGCATGAATGTGGTGCTCCATAGTAACCCCAGTGTTCTGGAGGTAGAGTTTAAGGATTTCTCTACTGAACTTTTTGCTGAACTGGCCTTTGCCTCAATATATAAGGTGGATAGCAATTAAAGAAGATACCAAATATCAAGTTTTAACATCCACAGAAGGCATGCACACTCAAACCTATTTGTTTATTCTCACATAGGCACACAAACACACACACAGACACACACACACACAGACACACAGACACACAGACACACACACACACACACACACACACACACACCATACACATGTATGCTAAAACAATCCTCATGGAATATTGTGTAGGAGAGATTGAAACTTTCCTGCAGCAAAGATCATTAAGAGAGAAAGTAAACAACTCAAAACAGCTTCAGGAAATCCCTAAAACTGACCAGATTCACCCCTCCCAGTCCTCCAACCTGTTGAGCTGCCTGAAATCTGTGCAGTGTACTACAGGTTCCCAGTTTTTGTGATCTGTCACCAGTGCTGGGGTAGGCTGGCGATGCAGTGGTCTTTGAATCATTTCTGCTTCTGGAAATAGCTCCTTGTCCACGTTCTTACAAGTAACCCCAATAAAAATCATGAGTTCACCAAGGTGGTGTTTGATGGGTCTTATGACAGTCACCCTCCATGTGGGATGCTCTCTTTTACTGTGGCTTGAGTTTTATTTCCATGATGATTAGGGATATTGATCTCTTTTATGTCTTTGGGGTAACATTTATTTACAATATTTTCTCATTTCTTATGTGTAATTTGTCATTTTTTCTGATACTGAGTTTTCTGAGTTCTTTATGTATTTTGAACATGAACCTCTTATCAGATTCATGGTTTGGAGATATTTTTTCCAAATCCTTAGTTGTCTTTCTTTTTTGATTGGCTTTCATGATTGGTTCATATTTATGACATTATATCAGGAAAATATGAATTGTCTATCTCTTTACAAAGTAAGCTCAACAACTTTGCTGTTAGAGTTTTTCAGTTTCAGTTTCATGCTGTGGTAACCAGGGATTTGGAGTAATGCCAAAACATTGTTGCCAAGGTCAATCTGGAGGAGCTTTCCCTCTGGACGTTCTTTCAGAAATTTTGTAGACTTAAGTCTTCGTTTAAGAGTTTTATACATTCTGTGCTGATTTTGGTAAATGTTGTGAGGTAAAAGCTCACATTCATTGCTTTACACATGCCTCCTGTTATCCAAGAATGCTGTGTGAAGAGGCACTTCTTTCCCTACAGTGTCTGCTTGTTGCCCTTTGGAAAACTGTGTAGAAATGTCAAATGTTTAGGTTCATTTCTGCTTTCTGTTTACTCTGTTACATTGGACTATGTGTCTGTTATGGAAGAAGGACTTTCAAACAACAATATGTGGACTCAGATCTCAATACTCTTTGGAAATTTTCTTCATGTCCATTATTTCCTAACTTAAAATACTATGTATACTGAAGGAACATTGTCCATTCTGTCTTGTGTCTCTGGCAGGCCTTGCTCTTCTTCCCCATTCCCTCTGCCTTGCTAAAAACCATTAGATTACATCCCTAAAGCTAGCCACCATGGTCTTATTCAGCCAATCCCTCCTCCTAAGGCTGACTTCCAGGGTTAGGCTATCAAAGAATTGAAGTCCAGCAACAAGAGGCCCCCTTAACTCACCTAATTAACATGCCCAATTAAAGTTGAACACCCCATCCTAACACAGTATTTTCTTTTTACCTTTATAAACTACCAATTGCCTGTGGGCCATGTCTGTCTCCTCTCTGTCCTGACATAGTTCTTTGTCACTCTGGGACAAATATCCCTCCCCCTTTCTCTAGTTCCCTTCTCCTTCTCTCTAGTCCTCCATCTCTTGGCTTTGTCTCTTATTGCCTGCCCTTTGTCCCTCTGTGGCAAATAAATGTCTTTGGTGCTGAGAACTTGGTCTTGAGTTCTCTTGTGCTGAATACTGGTTACTTCATAAGTCACTGTGGATCACAGCACATTTGTGAAAATATTGTAGCTTTGTACTAGGTTGGTAATCAGTAAGTCCTTCACTAGGAAATTCATGTTTTCCTCTTATGATGTCATAAATATAAGCCATTAATATAAGAAATCTTCTAATTTTCCTAGTAATTAAAAATGTGTATGTGCATAGTTTTATGTGAATATGTGTGCAGAAGGCTGAGGATAGTCTTAGGAATCTTGCTTAGGAATTCCATTTGCTCCTTTTGAGACAGTTTTCCATTGGTCTTAAAATTATTAATTAGACTAAGTAGTGTGGCTGGTGAGCTCTGGGGATCTTTCTGTTTCTGCTGCCTCAGTGCTTAGATTATAAGTTACTACCCCCTTGTCTGGCTTTTACAAAGGTTTTGAGAATTAAACCCAGGTCCATATGCTTGTACAGCAAGCAGGTTGTTGACTAGCCATCGGCTAAGTACTATTTGTTTAAGGAAAAACTCTGATTATATACCAAATATTTTTCATGCAAGAATCTGAAATCCTAAAACATCCTGGTATAGTGTGTGTGTGCGTGTGTGCGTGCATGTGTGTGCGTGCGTGTGTGTGTGTGTGTGTGTGTGTGTGTGTGTGTGTGTACTTGACCACAAAGTTTTTGGAAGGATTATGTGTGAGAGTAGTCTTACATTTGTAGAGTCTCCATCAAGGCCTGGAATTTTGCGATTACCTGTGTTTGTAGTTGTGTTTGCATGCAGCATGCCTGTGCTCTGGGGCATACTCTAGACTTTTACTTAAGCACTTATGTTTAATGGCCACAGGAGTCACTTTTCGGTCCTCTGCATTGCAACACCATTACTTAGATCTTCTCTGATCCCAGTGTCATACTTCAAATATTCCAGTACCATCCCCATGTGGCAGTTCTTAGTGTCAGATCATAAACAACTGTGATCTCTGCCAACAGGTCAACTGTATACCAACGTCACACTGAATATTAAGTCTATAGTGCTTCTTGGGGCATTTCCATAGACTCCACGCATGACATTCAGTTATTGGCTGGTGAGATGGATCAGTGAGAAAAGACACATTCTGCTTATCCTGACAGCCGGGTTCAATCCCTGGGTCTTATGTGGTGGAAGCAGAGAACTGATGCTTGCAAGTTGTTCTCTGACCTCCACATCCATGCTATGGCATGCATGTGCAACACACACACACACACACACACACACACACACACACACACACACAATGTTTAAACAGATATTAGCTGCATTTCATTGACTTTATTTTGCATGAATCAAAAAAAACAAAAAAATTAACTGTGGCCTCAATATAAAATGTAAAGGGAGAAGAAAAACATCTGAATCTGTGAAAATCATGTTTCTCTTGAATGATGGCAGGCAAATGCCTGAAGGCGAGGCTCGAAGTTGGAATTTGGTTTCAGGAAGACCTGTGAAAAATAAAGATAGTTTGGGAATTCCACAAATAGCATGCTAGCAACTTTTGAATTTAAAGTTTTTTGTTTTTTGTTTTTGTTTTTTACATTCCAAGAGTTCTTTTATGCCCATATCCAAGGACTTTATTAAATTAATTGTTTCAATTCTAATATATAAAATTGTAGTGTGCAGCACACTTCATGTCCATTTTACACAAAGACACTATTCTTGACTAGTTTCTTTTCTTTTTTTTTTTAAGAAGTTTTTTTTTTTGTTTTTTTTTTTGTTTTTTTTTTGTTTTGGTTTTTCGAGACAGGGTTTCTCTGTATAGCTTTGCGCCTTTCCTGGAACTCACTTGATAGCCCAGGCTGGCCTTGAACTCACAGAGATCAGCCTGGCTCTGCCTCCCAAGTGCTGGGATTAAAGGCGTGTGCCACCACCTCCCGGTGACTAGTTTCTTTATACATGATACAGAGTGATTTTAATTCAGGAT